CAGGTCCTCACAAAGTATATTTTATTAACAGCTTTTTTTTTTTAACTAACAGTAGTTTAACAGGGAATGATCTCCTAACCTTGGGTTTTTAGTTTAGTGTGGGTTGCCTTTCCTTTCTCCTTAATTGTAGTTCCCCTATCCCTATTTTTTCTTGGTAGTTTTTGTAGTATATATATATTAAAAAATCCCCTCCGGGGGCTTATTAAAAAAAAAAGGAGCTTATGCAAGGGGAAAAAACTAACTTCTCATACACACACACCACCCACTCCTGCCCCAAGCATCAACATGGCTTAAAATGCCAACAAAGTCAGCAGCCAATCATAGCACCCAATTGAGAATGTATGGCTAAAATAGCTATGTGGGAAGATGCAGAAGCAAGTATACAAGCAAAGAATACTACTTTAAAACAATGTAGAATCTCTGAGCTGATGTCTTCCTGGAATGTCTCTCATGCCTTCTATCAAAGCACCCCATTAGCAATGCAGGAACATTTAGTTTTAACTCCAATGTTTGCAGGAACATTTGGTTTGAACTCCAATGTTTGCAAATGCAATTAGGAATATATTGCAGATGTTTAGAACATAGATGTTTCTTTCTGCTGTCAAATGCACATTAGTGTACCTTGTCTGGACGTTAAAACATAATGTGCCAAGGAATGGGAGAAAATAACAAGACAGTATGGCTTAGAGAGAGCAATTCAAAAAGTAAACCCTATTTTATTTAATGGGCTTACCCCCAAGAAGTGTTGTTAGGATTGCAGCCTGAGAGTGGTATATCCTTCCACAGGCATTTTTTCCACATAAAATGATCAAGCTTTTTGAACAAGACCATTAGCAATCATTAACTGGAGAAAGGTAATAGCTTTAAAGTTTGTTCAGTAAAATACCACTACATATTTTGTACCAATATTTGTACTCTCATACAGAGCCTGTACTGTGACTGTAGTCATAAAATGTTATATTTATCATACAACGCTGATTGCTCTAAATTTCTAACAAGAATGCTGTGCCAGGTCTACCCACCCCAGTCCACTATATTGGTAGAACTGGACTTGGACCTTTGCCCTGCGCCAACCCTTAGAAAACATACCATCACTTTGGAGGGTGTGTGGAAAATCGTGCAGTCTACTTTGGTGTTTTTTTAGTGAAATATGTCAACCAGCATTACAGGTCAAGTATAACAGAGGTGGAACAATCACTGTCAGAACCCTGCCTAACCTAACAAACAGGTAATTGTTTAATGCTATCAACCTTCCCAAACTACTTAATTATTCAGATATTTATACCCCACTTTCCCCTGTGACAGCTTACAAATCATACTGAAAAGCATAATAGGGGTGTGCGTTTTTCTGGCTCCATTATAGCCTATGGGGATCATGATAGCTGATGGGCCCCATAGGCTATAATGGAGAATTGTGCAGTTTATACCTACTCCTGCTGCTTTCTTGGTTTTCTATTTTCCCTTCTCTTTCTTAGCAAGTTTCTCTATAAAAGTGTTCTTAAGAGGGAATAAAAACTGGTTAAATAAAAGAACCACACAGTAGGAATAAATCACCATGCAGCAAAGTAAAAGTAGAGTCATACAGGATCAGTATTGGGACAATGCTATTTACTTTCTCCATAAATGATCTAAAATTGAGAGTGAACAGGTTAGTGGCCAAGTTTGCATATGATATTAAGTTGTTCTGAATACTGAAACCAAGGTAAATTGTGAAGACTTCCAAAAAGGACCTCTTATGTTGGCAACAACACAGCAAAACGAGTTCAAGATATATAAGTACAAAGTGATCCTCACTGCAACAAAAATCCTAGTTGTAAATATATGCTGATGAGGTCTGAACTAACAGACATTGAGGGAGAACTAGAACCTGAGGCTGTGGTGGATAGCTCAATGAAAATGACAGCTCAGAGACTTAGACTTACCAGAGTGTTTCCAAGGACAGATTTCCATCTGTGGAGCATGACTTTCTGCCATCACCATCCCATTGTGGAGTGAATCTGGGCAGAAATAGAAAATTACAAGAAAGGGGACCCATGATACTCGCGGGGGGGGGGGAAGAAGGGGTCCACACAAAGGGGGGG